TTTCTAAAGTTAAAATAGGTAGGACGCTAAGCTCGTATGATAGTAACCACCACTGCCAGCGGCAGCAGCAGTAGCAGTAGCAGTAGCAATTGGCTTAGTTGGTGGTTATCCTAAGTGGCTCTGTCAAGCGCCAGAAGGCAGAAGCTAATTTCAATTTCCCGAGCGACTTTGATGGGTTTTTGCCTGAACGCTGTGAACTCTGCGTGGCGCTAAATATGGAAAGAGGCAAGTGGATGGAGAAAATTGGTGAAATAGCTGAAATAGCAAATGAAACGAAATCTAGGATCGTGCTGGCATTTTCCCGTTACTGTGCTCTGTCGAACCCTGGGCTTCAGCTTATGATTTTCGAGCATCATGGCATAATGATTGTATTTTAATGAAGGAACTGAGTGTGCCGGGACCCCGCGCATCGAAGCAACTTGCAATAGATGCACCGCGCGCTTTCATTTCTGGTCGGAACGTCAGAGTGCTCTGGGCATTGCCCAAGGATCATCCAGATTTGGACGAAATTGTCGAATTTCAAATTAAATTACGAGCTGGAAATGGCGAAAAAGAATGGATTCTGAGTGATGTAGTTGATGGCCATGTGCGTGCTGTTACAGTAAAAGCACTGCTCCCCCAAAATAGGTCAGTCTCGTTTGCTTCGTTATCTAGTACTTGTCGTGTATCGATGAAATGAAATCAAAACTGCTGGCTTCTGTATTTATATAAATCGTTTGCTGGCGGGTAAAAATTTTTATTATCCTTAAGTATTAGTTGTAATAAATTCTGTGCCGGGGTCTGCTAAGCATGTTGATCGCGTTTTTGTCTACGTGAAATGTGTCAGCACTAGTTTTTCATAGAAGCAAATTGTTCTGAAATTAATTTTTTCACTGACATTTTTTGATCCTTGACTTTCAGCTCCGCAGTAGCGCTACTTGCCACCGCACTAACTCTGCCTGGATCAGAAATGCTAAAGCCAAAGAACGAAGACAAAATCATTCATTTATACTATTTTTTTTTCGACCATCAAAGTGAGGGTGGAACCTTTACTGCAAATAGTAGCTGGTAAATTGTCCTCTCAATGTTGGGTTTTAAGAAATTACCCTCGCACTTGTATTTGTTAAAACTTTGTGTAATTTTTAACAGCTGTTCGAGTTATTATGATTAATAGCACAAAAACCGCCAGCAGCAATTCTCTAAATCTTTGCGCAGCAACGATTTCCGCCCTTGTTATGTATTTGTGCAATTTAGGTACCAATTTCGAGTTTTAGCAAAGATGAAGGACCAAAGCGTTATATTCAGTCCACCCACCGACTGGCTGCAAATTGGAAGGTCCGAGGGAAAAAACGATCAGGATGAGAGACCAAACATTACATTATTTACTGCGATCTCCGATACAGCACTTCAGCTGCATTGGAATTATACCGTACCGGTTTATATAGATTCTCCGGAGTCGTTCTTGATTTCTTTTACGAAGGCCTCCAACAAAAAGTACACACATACAGTAAGCATTTATCCGTTGTGGAAGTGAACAATTATCGTTGTTTGAGTTGTTCTTGAAATTCATGTAATTTCGATTGTTGATTTCGCGTGATGAGCCGCAAAAGAATAATTCAGAGGCGAGTGAACGATTCATCTGCGATGATAATTCTGAGCGACCTGGAACCCTCCTCTGAATATCGAGCGATTGTCGAAGTCGAACTTGCCGACAAAATATCACTGCGCAGCGAACCAGCAGTAGCACGCACAATGGGTTTCCATTTAATTTATTAAAAATTTATTCAAAATCGTAGAAAAAAATGACAATAGAGGGAGAAATCTGGAGCAAATTTTGCAGTTTCGTGAAGTCTTCTGTGTTTCACTGTAGGTATTTTGACAGTGCCTATTTTACTACCGTTACTTTTGTTGAATTCCCGAGCTACGTGCATGGAGAATGCCCTAATTTGCAGATAAAGTG